AGGGTGATGGCGTGATCTCCCTCGGAGGCCAGGCTGTTTAGACAAGTCTGAGCTCTGAGCACAGTGAGAGGGGTTTAAAAACATCTGTAAAGAAACAGGGAGAGGGGAGGCAGTTCCTTGGTTTTCTTTCCATAGGAGCCGGGAGGATGCCCTCACACCCGGCTCGGGAGGAGCGGGAGCTGGATGCATCCCGGGGTCATCGCTTGTACTGTCACGCTGTAAATGGGGAGTGTACGGAGGGAAGGGGCCGCGGTGGGGGATCAGCCCGGCATCTCCGCCAGGTCCGGGCAGGCACCCACCACGGCACCCGGCCAAGGAAAACACCGGCAACCCGATCCCCTCCCCACGGCAGCGGGGCCCAGTGTTTATCCTGGAGGCGAAGCCGGAGGAGCTGGGGCCCCGCGCAGAGCTGACAGCCGATCCCCGATCCCGAGCTGCCGGCCGCTTCCCTGGTTCCCTCCGCTTTCCGGGCCGCATGGCGCTGGTGCTGGGAGCCGTGCTGCTGGCCGCGGGTGCCGCCGTGCCTCCGGCGCTGCCGGCTCCCCGTGACCTGGCACGCTCGGTGCTGGAGACCCACGGGCAGGAGCTGCGGCTGCTGAAGATGCTGGGAGTCGCCAGGACGGTAGGAGCGGGGTGGGCAGTTGGGGGGGGGGGGATGCAGCTCCGGCACCCATCCCGGTGGGCCCCGTTTCCCCATCGGCGCTGGGAAGCCACCAAGGTCCTTGTTCTCCCGGCAGACGTTCGACTGGGGCACCCATTTCAGCATCAACTTCACCGCCCGGCAGCCCGCCTGCCCCAAAAACCTCCCCGACCGCCGCGGGGCCGCCTGCCAAGGCCGGCCGGGCAGGGTAAGCGTGGGACAGGGACCCCGACACATGGAGGGGGACAGAAAGGTGTCCCCAAGGTGCTCAGGGTCTGTGTCCCCAGGTGCAGCGGTGCACGGCCCAGGTCTCTGTCTTTGCCTTCCTGCCCGACGTGCCACTGTCAATGGTGGAGTGCAGCAAGGAGCCGGTGAGGGCTCCGTGTCCCCAAGCCTTTGGTGGGCGCAGTGGTGGGGATGTGTCCCCCCCACTTTGGGGACATGTTTTGGCTGCAGAGTGAAGCTCACCCTTATTTCTCCTCCAACAGCCCAGGGGCAGCACCCAGCCCCACTCCCCCGGCACCCCACGAGCCGTCGGCACCAACCCAGGTCACCCATCATCATCATCATCCTCCTCCTCCTCACAGCCACCAGAGCGTCTCAGGCCCCGCGCTGGCACATCCCTCCTGGGGACGCCCCGCCGCCCCCCATCCCCAGTGCAGCTGGAATAAAGATGTTTTGGGGTCATATGTGTGTGTATGTGGGGCTGACACAGGTTGGAGGGCAAGGGAACACCACACAGAGCTGGGCAACAGAGATGGGGCAACCCCTGGGGTTTGGTGTTGCTGCCCCAACACCAGCAATGGGGTCCCACAACTCCCCCCAAGGGGCTCCCTGGGGGAGCGGGGCCATGTCCCCAGTAGGGACCAGATGTGACAACACCAGCACTTGGGACATGCTCAGGACCCCCCCACGCCGTGTCCCCCCCACAATAACTGCCACTCTGTGGGCTGGGGCCAGGCATTTCCGGAGGGGGGATGTTCCCCAGCCTCCCGGAGCAGGGATAAAAGGGGATGCAGGGGGTGGCCACGGGACAAGGATGCTGAGCTCTTGGGCACTGGTGCTGGTGGTGCTGGGGGGCGCCTGCGCCCTCCCTGCCCCGGCCCCCCTGGCCTACACCCAGGCGCTGGCTCAGGCCGTTGAATCCTACAACCAGCGCCCCGAGGTGCAGAACTCCTTCAGGCTGCTCAGCGCCGACCCCGAGCCCGCCCCGGTGAGTGGCACCACACAGGGACCCCCTCACAATGATTCCCCCCCCCACTTAGTGACCCACACACACGCTTGTGTCCCCACAGGGCCTTGAGCTGACCACACTGCGGATGCTCAACTTCAGCATGATGGAGACGGAGTGCAGCCCCAGCTCCCGCGTGAACCCCGAAGACTGCGACTTCAAGGAGAATGGGGTGAGGATGGGGATGGGGGGAGGACACCCACAGTGGTCCTGGGTGTCTTCAATGGGACCCCTGGGGTGACCTGGGGTGTCATGTCTTACCCCCCAGGTCATCAGGGAGTGCTCAGGGCCAGTGCAGTTCCTGCAGAGCTCCCCTGAGATCGACCTGAGCTGCAATGATGCCTCCTCCAACGTGAGTTTTGGGGGTCAGCACCCACTGACAGTGGGTGGGGGCACCCATGGGTGTCAGGGTCCTTCCTCCCTCCCTCCCCACATCTTGGGGCCTGCCATCCCCAGAAGGGATAACCCGATGTCTCCATCTCACCAGGATAACTCCAGCCCGCAGTGGAGGGTGCAATGGGGGGGTCTTGGGGCACCCATGGGTTGATGGGTGCAGGGCGCTGGGTGCGCGGTCCTGCAGGGGTGGTGGGAGCAGGGACTGGGTGTGGAGAACCGGGTACAGGGATCCTGGGTGCAGGCTCTGGGCTGTGGGGTCCTCACTGTGCGGTCCTGCATGTGGGGTCCTGGGTGCAATGTCCAAGGTGTGGGACGCAGGGTCTGGAGCATCCCGATGACCCCGTTATCCCTTCGGCAGCCGGTCCTGGTCCAGCGTGGCCGGTTTGGGCGCTTCCTGGGCAAGATCCGGCGCTTTAGGCCCAAGATCAGGATCAGCGGCAGAGCCGATTTGACCATCCGCGTGGGCTGAACCAATAAAGGGGCTGTTCATGGTCCGTGTGTGTGAGCTGGCTCCTGGCTGCCTCCTGGGGTGCAGGGGGGGAATTGAGGCACATGGGAAGAGGGCTCCAGTGCCCACATCGTCCCTGTGGGTGGCCCTATACCTCCCAATATCCCCACCTTGGGGATCAAGAGCTTGGACCTGAAGGGACATGGGGTTGACACTGGGGACAGGGCCCAGTTTTGCTCCAGGAAGCCCCCAGGGCACCCGCCTCCCAAAAAAGGCACCATTCCCATCCCTCCCCACATCACTCCCATGGCGTCATTGTCCTCACAGCGGTCTGTACCCCCAAAACGATGGTGATGGTGGTGGGGGAGGCACCAGTGCCATGGGCTACCCATGGAGATACAAGAGGGCTCTACTGCCCACATCGTTCCTATGGGTGATGGAGAACAAGAGAAGGGCCATGGGGCATTCAGCTCCCAGGGGTCCCCGGTGACTGACCCATGCCCTGCTGGGGCACACGGACTGGCCTCAGCTGTGCCACCAGTGCTGTCACAGGCGGTTTTGGATGGGGACATTGGGGCATGGAGACCCCTGCAACCCAAAACTGCCCAGACCATGGTCATGGCTGCAGCCCTGGCTCCCGTGGCCCCTGGGGATGTAACCCCTTGTTCCCCCCCACCCCACATGGGCCAACAGTCCCTTGCGTTTGTGCCCCACACATACCCTATGGGGACCCCATGGCTGGCACAAGCTCCAGGGGGACCCTTTGCTCTTGGAGTGCTGCCTCAGTCCCGAGGAGGCAAGACCCCCCATAAGGCCAGTGCCAGGACGAGGCCTGGGGAGTTGGCAGTGCCGTGGGGCTTAGATGATGCCAGGCCCATGTGTGGGACTCAGCTCCCACCCCAGGACCCTCCTCCATCAGCATCACCCCCCATCCTGTCCCCATGTACCCAGTCCCCAGTGGGGTGATAGCAGCAGGAAAAGGTACAGTGGGGCTGGGAAGCAGCTTTATTTGGGGAAGAGGGGGACACCAAACTGGAAGGGGAGGAGATGGCAGCCCCTCGAGGGGGGCTCATCCCTTGAAGGACTTGAAAATGCCAACACCAGCAGCCACTGTCTTGATGGCTGTTACCAACAGCGGCCAGAAGCGCTTGACCCGGACAGGCTGTGGGGAGAGGGGGTGTCACAGGGTGAGGGGACCCCCACGTCCCCCTCCAGGCCCTGCAGCATCCTGGGATCCCCCAGCTCACGTCTGTGGTGGAGTCTATGCAGGTGACACCGAGCACGGAGCCGCCACGCTGGGGCACGGGTGCAGAGCAGTCCTTGACGAGCTGCGGAGAGCAGGGGCTGAATGCAGGGACATGCAGGGGGGAACGGCCCCAGGTTAGGGACCCCACAGGAGGTGTCACCCCCCCCAAGAACTCCCCTTGTCTCTCACCCCGTCCTCCTTGAACTCGCAGGCCTCGGGGCGGATTCTGGAGCGAGCCGGGCACTGCGTCTCCATGATGGTGAAGTTGAGGTGCTGCAGGGAGCTGAGCGGGATGCTCTGGGATGGGGACAGGGTGACCAGGGAGAAACGACACCCAACCCCAGGCACTCAGAGCCAGTCCAGTGAGGACCATCCCCTGCATCCCGCCCCGCACCTCTAAACCCCTCCCCATGCATAGAACCTGGTGTCCCCCTGATGTCCCCATGGGATGGGGTCAGCACTGGGCAGCCTGAGTCAGGGATCACGGTGGGGGGGTCCCTGTGTGGTGCCACTCACCGCGGCAGGCTCTGGGTCGGCGCTGAGCAGCCTGAAGGAGTTCTGCACCTCGGGGCGCTGGTTGTAGGAGTCGACAGCCTGAGCCAGCGCCTGGGTGTAGGCCAGGGGGGCTGGGGCAGGGAGGGCGCAGGCCCCCCCCAGCACCACCAGCACCAGTGCCCAAGAGCTCGGCATCCTTGTCCCGTGGCCACCCCCTGCATCCCCTTTTATCCCTGCTCCGGGAGGCTGGGAAACATCCCCCCTCCGGAAATGCCTGGCCCCAGCCCACAGAGTGGTAGTTATTGTGGGAGGGACACGGCATGGGGGGGTCTTAAGCGTGTCCCAAGTGCTGGCAGTCCCCACTGGGGACACAACCCCACTGCCTTGGAGCCCCTTGTCTGGGCACTGGGGAGACGGTGGGACCAGGGAGCTCCCCCACTCCCTATCGGGGCACAGAGAGGGACAGTGCGGCGCAGGGACCCACAGGACCGGAATGACACTGGGATCGTTGCAGGGATGTTTATTGGAAGCAGAGCGCCTGGGCAGGATCACGGGGCAGGGGGGACGCGACATCACCCGCTCAGGATTTGGGCTTTTTCAGGTTGAGTTTGTCACGGATCCAGACCTTGCTGCACTGGAAGAAGCCCTTGAAGCGCTCCTTGATCCTGCCAAAAAGGTTCTTGATGCCGGATTTCTGGATCGGGCCGAGCTGGGAGGAGAAGCAGCGGTGTCAGACCTTGGGGGGATGGCGAGGGGGTCTGGGTGACCCCCAGGGGGGATGTGTCCCACAGCAGCCGGGGAGAGAAGCAAAGCCAAGGGGGTGCAGTGGGGACATCTCCTTACCATGATGGGCATCTTCTCGCAGGACAGCTCCACCATGGGCTGCTGCTGCTCCAGGAAGGCATAGCCATGGCACCAGCTTACTGCCTGTGGGGAAGCAGAGTGGGACACGGGGAAGACGAGGCCGAGAGGAGCCTGAACCCCGCTCCCCATGCCTCGGGTTCCCTGTTGGGGACTCACAGGATGCAGCCTCACCCCAAACCAGCGGCTCTTGCAGGCAGCGGTGGCCATCCCCGGTGGCCGGCACGAGGTCTCCTCCACGCTGAAGCTCAGCTCCTGCGGGTGCTGCAGGTCTCCAGGCTGGGAGAGGGGACAGGACCCATCAGGGACCCACTTGGTTCAGGGATCCAGCCCCAGGAGGAGCCACATCCAGGCTGGAGATGAGCCAGCCCCATCCTCAGCTTGGGTGGGCAGCATCCCCATAGTAGGTTAGACCCAGCCCCAAAACGGGACGATACAGCCCTGAAAAGGAACGGATCCTGCACCACCGGGGTGCAGTGGGGATGGAGGAGCTCAGCACTCACCCAGCCGGGCCGGGGCTGTGCCTCCTGGAGCCGCAGGACATAGGGAGTGATGACCCTTGTGTTGAGCAGCTCCACAGCTGCCGAGACAGCATCCTCATAGCTCACGGTCCAGAGCCCTGGCAGGGACACTGGGATGGATCCAGCCAATCCCAGTGTGGATCCATCTGGGCCTGGTGTGGTGGCTCTGGCCAGCCCCAGCAACAGCAGCAGTACTTGGCACGGCCTCATCCTGCCTCCTGCCACCCTCTGTGCCGGCAGCCCTTTTATGGGATCTGCCCTGGATGCTCTGGCACGGCCACCACGGGCGTTCCCATGGGCTGACACTTCCCCCTGTAACACTGGGGAATTCCCAGGGGGACAAATCCAGCCAGGAGCCAAGTCCATCCCCCTCTGACACCCATGCCACCACAGCAGCTGGCCCAGCACTGCTCAGCAGAAGAGAGGCCACAGGGTTGAGGTCCCCCCACAATAGGGGTCCCCCATGGGAGCACATTGCATACCCAGGGAGGGTGAAATGAGGACAGGGGTGATGCTGAACCACAACATATGGAGGCACAGGGAGGGTGCTGGTCCTGGGTACCACCATGCCAAGGTGACCACCAAGGAGCTGAGCCGGGTATGATGGGGACATAGGGTGACACCAGGCTGGGTTTCTCAGGCCCGGTCTCCCATAGGGCTGAATGAAGCCTTTGACACTGTTTTCCACAGTATTATCCTGGAGAAACTGGCTGCTCACAGCTTGGATGGGTAAAGAACTGGTGGATGGCTGGGATTAAAGAGTAGTGGTGAATGGAGCTAAACCCAGTTGGTGGCCAGTCACAAGTGGTGTTCCCCAGGGCTCAGTGTTGGGGCCCAGTCTGTTTAGTGACTTTATCAGTGACCTGGATGAGGGGATCAGGTGCACCCCCAGATGACAGCAAGTTGGCTGGGAGTGTTGATCTGCTGGAGGGTAGGAAGCATCTGGACAGGCCAGATCAATGGGCTGTGGACAATGGTGTGAGGTTCAACAAGGCAAAGTGCCAGGTCCTGTACTTGGTCACGACAACCCCATGCAATGCTCCAGGCTTGGGGAAGAGTGGCTGGAAAGCTGCTCAATGGAAATGGACCTGGGGTGTTGGTCGACAGTTGAACATGAGCAGCTTGTGCCCAGGCAGCCAAGAAGGCCAATGTCATCCTGGCCTGTATCAGCAGTAGCGTAGCCTGGCCCTGCTGGCCATGATCATCCCCCTGTGCTGGGCACTGGTGACGCTGTGCCTCAAATCCTGTGTTCAGTTCTGGGCCCCTCACTACAAGAGAGACACTGAGGTGCTGGAGCAGGTCCAGAGAAGGGCAGTGAAGCTGGTGAAGGGTCTGGAGCACAAGTGTGATGGGGAACAGCTGAGGGACCTGGGGGGGATTTAGTCTGGAGAGAAAGGAGGCTCAGGGGGGACCTTATTGCCCTCTACAATACTACCACTGCCAGAAAGGAGGTTGTAGTCAGGTGAAGTCCATCCTTCAGTCCATCCTTCAACCAGTCTCTTTCCCAAGCAACAAGCAACAAGAGGACACGGCCTCAAGTTGCACCAGGGGAGGGACAGATTGGATATTACGAGAAATTTCTTCCCCAAAGTGCTGTCAAGCACTGGCACAGGCTGCCCAGGGAGTGGTGGAGGCACCGTCCCTCAAGGGATTTAAAAGACATGTAGATGTGGCACTGATTGACATGATTTAGTGGTGGCCTTGGCAGTGGCATGTTAACAGCTGGACTCGATGTTCTTACAGGTGACCACCACAGAGCTGACCCGGGTTTGGTGGGGACAGAGGGTGACACCCTCTGTTCTCAACCCGATTCTCCCATGGGGCAGGATGAAGAATCCTCCCTGCCCCACGGCCGGGTCTTTCCAGCCCCCGGTGATGTTTTATGGCTGGGCGGTTGAAACATCCGCCAATGAAGACACCTGTAGCTCTCTGCAAACATGGTGGGTTTGACCAAGCACCAGCCTTGGGAGTGGCCGCCCTCTCCGAAGCCAAGCAGGAATCTCCAGGAGCACCTCAAGGGACCGTGCCCGGAAGATGACCCTCTGCTCAACCATCTGCACTGCCATGCACAGCGAGTGAAGCCCAAAGCCACCCAACAGGCTCAGAGCTGCTTGGCCAGTGAAAGCCGTTGAGTGTGTTCTGCCAGCAGCTTGTAGATGAAGCAGGGACGAGCGCACCCAGGTCACAGCTCGTGGGAAGTCCCCAGGGATGGACACTCGATCACGGATCTATGGGACAGCCCAGCTTGGCCCTGGAAAGATCCAGGTGCAACCAGGTCCAAACTTCCATGGAGAAGGGACCCTATATAGAATTGTCCTGCACCCCATGTTCATCTTGAGAACCTCCAGTGATGGGGACCCCACCATGCCCCTGGGGAGGTTCTTCCAGGGAATGACTCACTGTATAACCTAAATTGAGATGAAACCTCTCACTGTACCCATTGTCCCTTGTCTTCTCCTCATGGCTCCTTGAAAGCCTCCACCACTGGGATAAGGTCCCCATAAGCCTTCTCCAGGGAGAAGAGACTCACCTCCCTCAATCTTCCCCCTAGAGCAGGTTCTCCAGCCCTATGGCCATCATCCTGGCCCTCCTCAGGACCCTCTCCACTCTGTCTGTGCCCTTCTTGACTTGCTGGTGCAGAACTGGATGCATCACTCCATGGGGGGCCTGGAAGATAGCTCCAGAACCAGGCAACTGCGGAGTCAGAAGTGCTCCACTGGACCGCCCGCTTACAAACCAGGATGGAGCTAGTGGACATGAGGTGGTCAGGGCAGCATCGGCTGTGGTGACCACGGGATGGTGAAGCTCAAGATCCTGAGGGGGGAAGCTGGTCAGAAAGCAGGATCACTGCCCTGGACACTTGTAGAGAGCAGAAATTGGGACAATGCTCAATGCAAGAGGCTGGGTCCCACAGGAGGGTGCACCAGGTCAAACTTAGGATTCAGCAGCAACCAAAACCAGTGTCAAGACCTTTAAGTATTGGTTTCAAGTGTCCTGTGTAAACCTCGAGCAGGCTCCACTCTTTCACAACATGAAATCCCGTGAGGCCATTTTGGGAACAAGAAAGGGAAAAGCTTGGAGAGTTTTAGTTGGGGAAATCACATCCCACACAGCTACAGCTGTGCTCTCAGGCCAACTCCTCACCCTGTGCTGGAAGCAGGGGTAAGCAACACCCCCAAAAGCAAACACGAAGGCCCAGAGCTGCAGAAAACACCCTGCTCATAAATCAGTCCCCACTTTATTTGACCACCTCAAGACTGAGCTGCCCCTCCTCATTCCTGGCAACCCACAAATTTATTTGCCTTTTATTAGTTCTCACAGCCGGGCCCTGATCTGTTTGGACATGGACAGAGCAGGAAAGGAAACACGGGGGGTGGGTGAGGCAGAACATGGGTAACTTCTGCTGGTGACAACCTCAACAGCAAAGGGGAGGACACGGCTGCTCCATCAGCCCTGCAGCCTGGAGAGGGCTGCAGGGAAATCCAACCCACAAGAAGCCCTCTAGCCAAAAGGGCTGCACGTGATAGGGCTTTAAGGGGTCTGAGGAAGGAGGAGGGTGATGGAGGAATCAGCATGGGGGCTCAGCCCCTGGAGTTGTAGAGAAGCAACCCCAAGAACACCTCCTGCTCACAGCAGCCTGAGCTCACCCACCCTATCCCCGTATTTTGCTCTCTTGAGACCCTGCTGCAGCCCTGTATCTAGCTTTGGGGCCCCAATGCAAGAAGGACATGGAGCTGTTGGAGCAAGTCCAGAGAAGGCCACAAAGATGTCCCAAGGGCTGGAGCACCTCTGCTGTGGAGACAGGGTGAGAGAGCTGGGCTTGTTCAGCCTGGAGAAGGCTTCAGGGAGACCTTAGAGCAGCTTCCAGTGCCTAAAGGGGCCAGCAAGAAAGCTGGAGAGGGGCTTTTGACAAGGGCAGGAAGGGACAGGACAAGGGAGAATGGCTTTAAACTGACAGAGATTGAGATGATATGTGAGGAAGAAGTTCTTCCCTGTGAGGGTGGTGAGGCCCTGGCACAGGTTGCCCAGAGAAGCTGTGGCTGCCCCATCCCTGGCAGTGTTCAAGGCCAGGCTGGACGAGGCTTGGAGCAACTTGGTCTGGTGGAAGGTGTCCCTGCCTGTGGCAGGGGTTGGAACTGGATGAGCTTTAAGGTCCCTTCCAACCCAAACCATTCCCCCAACACACCGGAACCGGACCCGCCGCCACACCCGGTGCCTCATGGCTACCACACCGCCTTCACCGCCCACCGCCGCTGCGCGGCGGAAGTGCCTCCTCCTAAGCCAATGGGCGCTTGCTGCAGTGTATGACGCAGTCAGGCTGCGCCGGCGTACATGCGTGCGGCGCCTCCGTGGCGGCCCGCCGTGCGGCTGGGGCGGGCGAGGTCAGGCGCGGCGGCGGCCGGAGGGCTGGGCTGGGCTGGGCTGGGCCGGGCCGGGCCGGGCCGGGCCGGGCCGGGCCTGCGGCGGGGTGGGGGGAGGCGGGCCCGGGGGCGCTGAGAGCAAGAGCCTGGGGCGGAAGGCTGGGCTCGGGGTGTGGGGCCTCTAAGGGGGATCGACCGGCGGCGGGGCTAGGCCCCGGGCCTGTGAGGTGCGCGGGCAGAGCAGGGGAGGTGGGAGCCCAGGGAAGTGGTGTGGGGAAACCGGGAGCAGCGGGGAGGGGAATCATCAAATCCCAGACTGGTTTGGGCTGGAAGGGACCTTAAAGCTCATCCAGTTCCAACCCCCTGCCATGGGCAGGGACACATTCCACTAGGCCAGGCTCCTCCAAGCTCTGTCCAGCCTGGCCTTGAACACTGCGGGGGACGGGTGAGGCCTAGGCAGGGCTGATGCGGAGCTGGGTGTGCACCAGACCCGCAGCCAGCCGTTCTGAAGTGGCTGCGAGCCACCTTGGGAAGCCACACGAGTTCAGCAGCCCCTAAGGGGATCTGACAGGAGTTTAGCCCCAGCGGGGAAGTGCCTCTGCCACAGCGGTGTTTTGTTTTCATCAGAAACCTTTTATTGCCCCCTTGCATCCAGTATTGCTAATCATAGAATCATAGAGTACTTTGGGTTGGAAGGAACCTTGAAGATCATCCAGTTCCAACCCCCTGCCACAGGCAGGAACACAACCGTTACCAGAATTTGGCCACCACATGTTTATTAACTTTTCCTGTACCCAAAGTGTTTTTCTTCCTTTCACAGCTTTCCTGACATGTGGTGTTGACCCCCAGCCGGTTACCAGCCCCGGCCTTCCACCATGGCCGCCCACTTGGTGCGACGCTGCTGCTGGCGGCACTTCAGTTCCTTCATCTCTCCTTCCTCAGCAGTCCCGGCGTCCCTGCTGGTGCCGGCTGGGAAGGTGGCGGTGGCAAGAGCTCTGCCTCCAGTGCCTCTCGCTTCATTTCATACTTCAAGCCCTTCCAGCTGGGCAGATGGATTCTCAGTC